ATATTCAAATAACAAAATTAAAAAAAAATCCATTCTCTATTCATTCACTCATTTGACAAATTTTCACTGCCTCCCTATTACATGCAAAGCACTATTAACTAATGTCTTCCCCTAACTTATCTTTCTAAGGTTTTTAGAGAAATACGTATCTTTAAAAAAAGTACTGCACTCAAAAGTATGCCATTTTTAATATGTGGGAAATCGACTTAAAGTTACCAAATTTTTCTGTAACTGAAGTTATGGAAACCACTGTTAGAGACCATATCAAATTTAAAAAGCAGTTTTAAAAAAAAAAAACAACATTTTTTTGCTACAAAGAACATATTCACCATTTATGTAACACAATCACTGCTTTGGACTTATTCCATGGCTCTTAGGTTTAATTTATTTGTGAGTTGCTAAGCATATTATGCAAAACTCAAGAATGAATAAAAAGGAAAAGATAAGTGATTGACAAAACTAACTGCAGTATGCAGACACAGTTCTGTGGCAATCATCCTTCCAGTCCTGGAGGAGAAAAAGGTGGACCTGGCAGAGTGTGGGAAATGCAGAAGTTTTTTGTTCTTAAGAGTGCAGAGTGGATATTGTGGACATTGATGTCCACAACAGCCAAACTATGGAAAGAGCCAAGATGTCCATCGACAGATGGATAAAGAAGATGTGGTATGTATATATATATATATATATATATATACATATATATACACACATACACACACACACACACACACACATACACACTGGAATATTATGCAGCCATCAAAAGGAATGAGATCTTGCCATTTGCAACGACGTGAATGGAACTGGAGGGTATTATGCTGAGCAAAATAAGTCAATCAGAGAAAGACAAATATCACATGATCTCACTGATATGAGGAATTCTTAATCTCAGGAAATAAACTGAGGGTTGCTGGAGTGGTGGGGGGTGGGAGGGATGGGGTGGCTGGGTGATAGACATTGGTGGGGTATGTGCTATGGAGAGTGCTGTGAATTGTGTAAGACTGTTGAATCACAGACCTGTACCTCTGAAATAAATAATACATTATATGTTTAAAAAAAAAAGAAGAAGAAGAAGAAGATAGCAGGAAGGGAAGAATGAAGGGGGGGAAATCGGAGGGGGAGACGAACCATGAGGGACTATGGACTGTGAAAAACAAACTGAGGGTTCTAGAGGGGAGGGGGGTGGGGGGATGGGTTAGCCTGGTGATGGGTATTAAAGAGGGCATGTATCGAATGGAGCACCGGGTGTTATATGCAAACAATGAATCATGGCACACTACATCAAAAACTAATGATGTAATGTATGGTGATTAACATAACAGAATAAAAAAAAGAAAAAAAGTGCAGAGTGGAGGGAGGTATGAGTTAAAAAAGTGAATTGCGAACTCTCTGTCAAATGTGAGTTATTGCGATTAGAATTATGTCTACTGCACTAGACCCTCACTCAGGCTTCAATTCTGGGGCTTCTTCTGCAAAAAAAGGCAACTGGTATTATGGCTTTGCTCATGATATGGCCACATCATAAAAATGAATGATCTATTTCAAGAGAAAGCAAACTGGGCCCTGTCACCTGAATTTGAGTTCAGCCACGTGGGCTGAATATGTGACTCACAGCTTCTCTATGACTCGGGTTTGCTATGGGAAAATTGCCTTCCTAAATAAAAATCCTCTACTTATATAGAAAATCACAGTATGTGTAAAAGTGATTTAGGACCCCCCCAAAAATGATATATGTTCTAATTTCTAGTGTGATACTGTACAGAATATAGACTCATGTGCTAAAATCCACACTTCTGTTTTCAAACTAATGTTTTAAGTAATTCTACCTATAACAAAGTATTTTTTTTTTAAACAATTGGTTAGCAGGGGCTGGGGGAGGGGAAATTGGGGTGTTATTGTTGAATGGGTACACAGTTTGGGGTGATGAAAAAGTTCTGAAGACAGACGGTGGTGAGGGTTGCACAACAATGTGAAGGTACTTAATGCCCCTGAACCCTCCACTTAGAAATGGTTATAATGGTCAATTTTATGTTATGTATATTTTACCACAATACAAGTTTTTTAAAAATGTTATTAGCCTCAAAAATGAAAACACACAGAAGAATGTATTCCTGGTTATAAATCCTTGTTCATTTCTAGACTGATAATAAAAAATCTCTCAAAGCAACCACATCAAAATGAGCACCCAATTAGATTAAGTGAATCATTAACATAACAAAAACACAGTCATTGTGGAAAGCCACTAGTCAGGCCAAGAGATTATACCTATGGAATTTTACACACACACACACATACACACACACACACACATTTATGGCTAAGAAAATAATAAATTTGTAGAACCCTATCTTTATTAGTCAAATAATAAAAGAAATCATGGGGGGGGTCCATACATTATGCACATTTGAGAACCCTGTTACTTCAGAATTCTCAGATTTACATGCAATCTCCAGGTGTAGAATATATTAGAACAAAATAGCTGGGAGAACAGTCTCTATTTGGAATCTCCCACACACACTATCCCTTACCCCAGAAAATTGGGCTCATTTCCATTTGCTTACCACCAGTCCTAGTACGAGGGTGCGAACTCTTTCTCCTATCTCTGGAGAAATGTCATTGCCAAACTGCTGCAGGGTAGTAAGGAACCGTTTCAGCTTACTGAGCTGCCTGGCGCCACAGGCTGGGGGCAGCTGTTGATTAGCCAGAGAAGAAGAGGAAGAAGAGGAGGGCCCATTGCTAAAGCCATTGGGCGGCGAGGGGGCGCCATTCAAGGCTGTGGGTGAATGGCTCGTGCCATTAGTTACTGTCAAGAGCACAAAATCAGAAAGAAAAATAAATAAATAAATTTACAGGGAATATGCACAAAGAAATTATAACCAAGCTTCATTCCCTTTAAATCTGGTGGATTTTGTGATTTAACAACTGTTGGGGCTTTGTTCGGGTACTCTGAAACTAAATGGGTCTAACTCCTCACCATGCATGAGGGTATTCTACACGGAAGCTGGTAATAAATGGGAGTCGGCTGTAACACAGGGTCAGCCCTACCTCCATGTGCACATATGCCAACCACCTGAAATGCTTCAAACTCAGAACAAACAGCGTTGGGATGTCAGCCTTTTGTCACAGGCTTACATCAATATAACGGGACCATTCCTTTCTAAACTGTTCCCCTAGAGAAAGCGTACATTTGGTGGAGACTAAATTTATCACTGAACATTTTTAATCATGTTTTGTACACACAACTGACAGCTGTGTTTATAGAAATAGGACTTTCAAGTTTTAACCTTATACCACCCAATTAGAAGGCTATTTTCTCCCCCTCGTATTTCTTAACCACTTCTTTAGGGAAAATGCAAATTTTATATAAGAAGCCAAATGGATATGGTAATTATCAGAGAGTTATTTCAAGAAATCAAAAAGGGACATCTCATTCCAACTAATAGCATGGGTTGGTGGTAATTTGATAACCTCATTTCCAATAAAATTTATTTGAACATCAAGATAATTCCTAAGGACAAGACTAGAAAATCTGGCACATTTCTCACCGAAGAAAATGCTGATTTTATCATATTAAATCAACTAGTTTGACAAACTCATCTTTATCAAACCCATCTTTTTAATATAGTTTTGACAGATTATCTCCAACGGTGGTCTGAAGATGTCTTGAGTCCTCTATTATTCTTAAAAGTTTCAAGATAATGAAATGGTCCCTTGTCCCAAATGAGCGCCAAAGCAACACGTCATGGAATGACTGCTCACCAGGACCTCTCACGGGAGACACATGCCTGTCCCTGTGGCTTCGGGTAACAACAACCCAAATACAAGATGACAGGGTTACAAGTTGGCACCACCACAGCCTCCTGTCCCTTCCACGTTTGGGAAGGTCTTTTGAATGGCAGTGCAACGCTGCATCAACAGCCTGGGCTGTGTGTTTGCCAATCCCTCATAATCCCACGGATCTATCTGGTTTTGCCCGTTAGTTATTTTTCATTCATATAGGCTTCATGGCACGTGGTCTGTAAATAGTATTATCTGCAACCGATAGCATTTTTTAGTTTCACAAATCCTTTAGTACAATTTTAACCAGGATTCTGAGAATGACTGGAGACAAAGCTATCCACTATCCCTACTGGAATATACAGGACAGGAAGAGAAGTGGCTGTTCGGTCAGAATGTCCTGTCCTTTCCTGGGACGACACAGAAAGCAATACACACCACTGATTCAGAACACAGGGCCGGAGCTGAGCTGGAAGTGAGTAAAGGTTTAATAAAAGTCTGACAGGCTCAAGACAAGAAAGATGCTCCTTATTTCAGAAAGTTTTCTGTATGTGACTGTTGCCTAGAGCAATACCCCTTCTAACTTAAGGATACTAGATTTTAATATTATTTGTAAATAACAGAAGAAAGTGGTATTGAAGAGCAGAAGCAACCTGGAAATAACTGTAGGATATTAACATGTTCCAAGTCAAAACGTACAAACTAAAATAAGGAGCTACACATTAAGTTGAACTAAAAGTGATGGTGATAACAGATGGAGTCCCAAACCAAACTAATGCACAGTATTCTTCACCGCGGAAACGAAAGCAGACTACAACTGTGAAACAAAAATGAAAAGGCAGGCAAATGCTGGCGGTCATACAAACTATCCCAAAGATGCTATACATCTGTACAGGCACAATACCTACTTCCTGGCCATTAAACCATTTGGTGGGGGCGGGGGGGGGAGGGAGGGGAGGGGGAGGGGTGCTTCACTTCTGTATAACACATTGATGCTGGATCTTATTTTCCCTTAATTTTTATTTGCAGGAAAAAAAAATTTAGATTTCAAAGTGGAAACAGGACATGCAGCAATGCCTACTCACGAGTCGTCGGTGTAAATGAACTGGTTCTCGGAGCTCCTTGAGTTGTGGGGGGAGGCGGCATGGTGGGAGGAGTCAGCCTAGACGGGGTCTTCACATCCACAGGTGAGTCTGGCATCGTGGAGTGCTTCTCAGTCCGATCTGGAGGACGCCACCAGGAACAGGTTATTCTACTCCTTAAGCACCTTCGTTGTTTTTTTGTTTTTTGGGTCTTTTTGGTTTTTTAAGTGGGGTTCATCTTTTTTTTACAAGCAAGTGAACAGAAGAAATCTGACGTCTCCTATCAATAAAGCAGGCTTATCTATTGAAGTTTACATCAGCACTTTATCATCCAAACCCCACTTAAGAAGGTGGCACAGATGGCAGGACCTCATTTGTAACTGGGCTATTTTACATCCTATTGTTATTTCTGACTTGGGCAGACGCTACCTTGGTAGTGTTACATGCAACAGCACAACCTCACTGGAAGCTGAAGCCAACATTAGCAAGAGCTAAAAAATAGACAGGGAAGTAGAATGGTAATAAACTCTTTAGCTCAGAAACGACACAAATCTGAAGCTCCGTTATGCAGGTGAGATACTCACAGGAGCCAGCATTTTGCAATGATTTTTTCGTTAACACCTGCCATTCCCTTTGCACGCTTAGTTACTGGCCTATTAGATGAAGCGGGTTATGTTTCCCAGATACACCTCTCACTTCAACGTGGCTCTGTCCTGTCTGAAAAATCACCACTACATAAATGCTGTCTTTTACACAATGAAGGTAAACTAATTCACTCAGAATTTGTGAGTTTACGACCCACTGTTTTAAAAACATGAGACCAATACTTCAATTAATAACCTCATGCAGCGTAAAAATGGACAAACCCCTGAATTGAGAACTAAAAAGAACTAAAGGCCCTCCTTATATTATTTTTTCATGAGTATGTGACAGATACGGAGAAATTTCCTGATTACCCAATAATGAACACTTGAGCTCCAGGATTCTTTTCTACTAAGTATACTTTTCCTTTGAAATTTTGAGCTGTTTTTTTCTCAGTCAAATCTATCAGCGACAAATCTCCAGTAAAAAAAAAAAAAAGTGGGTTTCGTTTGTTTCTTTAGATCCAATTTTCTACAAACACTGTGTGCCTGTGTGCGCATGCGCACACACACCCCCAAAATGTCTGAGACGCCACTGACACTCTCAGGAGCAGTTATTTCCCACTTGGACTATCCGAAAAGTAACACAGGCTACTGATCAAGAATGAGTCTTTTAAAACCTTATGATAGCCATAGGGAGAAATTCTCAAAAATTACTCAAAAGTCTATTTTTTAAAAATGAAAAATCCAAATTACTACTATGGCAATTCCAAACCTAGCTCACACCTTGACTCAGAGCCGATTCATTAAGACTTGGGTAGCAACAGAACATAACATTTTAAAGGTGAAATAATGTTGATACCGTATTAGGGAAAATGTGATAAAAGAATGAAAATATAATCATCCTAAGAACAGCATTTTGATAACCTAGTAGCTGGGTCTCTAATTCATAATCTCGACTGCTCGCTGAGTAACGACAACTGTCCCTTCAGTAAATACGTGTTCTAAGGGAAATGATGGTAAGAACACACCATGGAGAGCATTTCTACCTTTATCTTCCAGTTCAAAACTCATCTTCATATTGCAATTCCCGAGCACTTAACACCCAGAATCAGATAAATCACTTATTCTAGAAGAATACAGAAGTTAGGCAGGTTTAAAACTGCTTCTTCAACAGTTAAAATCACTGCACAGTGTACTCACCTCAACCAACCTCAGCAACAAGGGAATAAATAAATAGCTTTCCGCTTATGTTGCAGCTGAGGGAAGAGGTACGGCAGCAAATACAAGTCTCCCTAAATAAAGGCAAATATTTCTGTCATGCCAAGGAAGGAGGGATCGGGGGAGGCTTGCCAGAGTCGGCTGGGAGATAACAGTGGGAACTGCTGGTCCATCTGGTTTTCATTCTGCTAACACTCACGCTGAACTGTGAGAGAAGGCAGTCCAGATACACAGATTCGAAGCACGTGGTTGCAGACCAAGAAAGGAAGAGCAGGACGGGGGAGGGGGAGGTGGGAAGAAGGAAAAAAAATAAAGAAAGCAATGGAAGGAAAAGAGAAGAGAGAAGAGACCGACACAGGGAGAAAAGAGCCTACGTGAAGAGAAAGTTACTCGGAATGGCTTCGTCCACCCCAAAAAGGGGAACCTTACTTACTGGGCACAGCCCCTACCCCTTACTTACCTCGATGTACCTCCTGAGCAAAAACCTAAACTGGAAACCATATCTTAATCTCTGTGTTTCTTTACTCTGTTTGCTGACGCTAAGAAAAAAGGAAATGAACTATAAAATTGACAATGGGGTTTCCTCTTCAAACTTAAGATGATCTTAATAATAGTAACAACAACAACAAACGGCAGATGAGTGATTTTTTTTTTTAAGATCCTTGAAATGACACTGATACTTTAAGAACAATAATCACTGAGCCAATAAATAGCAAAAAAACACCAGTGCTTCTAACATGAAATATATACATTCTAACCAGAATATATGTATACGTGCATATATTTAGGATTTTGACTTTAGCCAGATTTCTGTGATGGTTAGCTTCACTCTGATCAAATGGAGTTCCAACCCAGAGGTCCTACAAACTTAGACAAAGTGGGACCATATGTAACTCATTCTGTGCTGTTCAGTGCAATCAATCCAGGATGGGGATCGATGGTGAAGTAACCAGCCAGGCCTAACTCATACACACATACATACAAACCCTCTGGAGCAGAGAGATTTAAGATAAATTCAGAAAATGTGTTTCAAGTATGCTGAGTTCTGTTGCATTTGTTTTGGATTACTAAAAAAAAAGGAAAAAAAAGAAAAAAAATTTTGAAATATATATTCTTGAAACTTTTATAGCAAACAGCAAAAGAGCTATGATTCAACCACATAAGTATTTCACTCCACTTCAAATTAGAGGATACAGTAAAACCAGTATTAAGTTAGAATATTTCTTATGCAATTTTTTAAGTTTGTGAAAATTATACTGTTCTTAGACATAATTTCTATTTTTAGTTGCTGCAGGGGAATGCTGACATTTATTGAAAGATTGACACAAAATGATAAAAAAGAAAAAAAAGAAAGAAAGAAAAACCATCTCTATCAGAGCAGGAAGGTAATGTATAATCAAAAGGATTGACTTTACTTCTACCTTAAGGATTCACACCACTTCTAAATAAAGATCTCCCCTATGTGGTAACATTTCAACTCACCTGGCAAATATCCAACACATATGTACCAAAGATGGCTGAAACATGGAAGAAAATGTGGCATATATAAATACATTACTGATACCATTTCAATATCCAATTCAGTGTCAAGGCCTTCTAGAAGTGGTATGTTTTCCATTTCCTTTTTTGTTTTTTTAAGTAAAAAGAAAAGGTATGGCATAATCTACCATAGCACTTATTTTACTTTTAGTTAGTTCAAACAGTTCCAGATGTGTTTTTAAGGTATGAAGACTAGGCATTCTATATTTTTCTTGTTTGCATCCTATTTCTAGAGATGATTCAGGTAAATAGGAAGTCCAGGGTTGGTAGACAGAACATCTTTTTCTCTCCAAGTTCATCATGGCAATTATAATAGAAGAACTAGCTATGTCCAGGAGATGTTATGGATTGAGAAACCGCTTGGCGAATTAGCAGTTAGGGCAGAGTTAGTCTGATCTGAATAAGCACCAGCTATAGGAGTGAGATGTTCAATAAAGAGGAATAAGCCCAAGAGGAACTCAAGAACTACCACCGGAAAGGAGAAGGCAGTTAGGGAGGCACAAAACTGGGTACAGAATTTGATTTCCATGGAAAATACGGCAAATACAAGCCTGACAACAGAATCATTTAGTGGCTCCACTGTCTGAGTGTGAGACATTACAGAAGACAGTCTGCAGAGTGGCATGGTAGCCATTCAGCCTCCACAATGCTGCCATCCCACTTCCCTACAGAGCACTTCTGGAATGTTCACTCCTGCTCAGAACCCCTGAATAGCACCTGAGACTAAAAGTCAAATGCTAACATTTTACACATGATGGAATGATACATGGAAGACTATTTGGAATAAGAGACGAATTTCCCAGTTAAGACAGACTTGGTTTCAAATGTAGACTCAACCTTAGCAGTGGGTCCTCAGGCAAGTAATCTTGAGCCCCAGTTCCTCCTAAGAAGAATAGGGATACAATCCCCTCTGCCTCATCCGGACCCTGACATAGTGCCTACTCAAGTCAGGCACCAACATGTGTGATCTCCATTCTCTTCTTGTGCCTGCCTCTTTGTGACCCATTCATGGCTTTATTTCCAATGTCCTTCCCCCATGTCTCTGCTCTATCCGTACAGGGCACCTTGGCATTCCCTGCCTTTTCTGCCTCTCTTTTTGTTTCCTTCATCTAGAAGGATCTGCCCCATCTATGCCATTCTTCGCTGCCCATTACAGATCTTCTCACAGCTCTTCCCAGGTGCTTGCCACATCATGCTTGCTGGGCCTTTCTTTTAGCATTTACCACAGCCTATGTGGATGATAGTTGTGTGTCTATGTGCATGTGCATGTTATATACCCAATCACCCCAACCAGGGAAAACTACTTGATGGCATTTTTTAAAATGTTTCATTTAAAAGATAAACACACAACCATCAACAGCATATAAATATATAAATAGAAAATGGAATGCAGGTAACATGGGAAGATGCTGGGGACCTGAAATGTAGTTCAACTCTGCGATCAACTTACGTGGTTTCAGGCAAGTGTAAGAATAATCTGTTACCTCACACCTTATCACAGGTGTTTGATGACTTTTTTTTTTTTTTCCTGAAACACAAATATGATCTTAACTATTCCATGATTTAAAACCTTTCGGAATGAGTGAACCGATGTCCAAAGAATACTCTTTAGCTTAGCTTATGTCACAGATACTGCTGAGTTCCTACTGAATAGCCCTTCTCCCTTTCTTTCCTGCTGGGAAGTCCTGGTTTTGCTCAGGTTGTCACGTTCCCCTTTATCAGCAACAGGTTTCAGAGGTAAGGGCTGTGCTCCTATTCTGGACAAAGGGTCATGAAGGGAGGTCTATGGAAGAAGTTTTA